TGTAACTTGCTTAGCTAAATGAATTGTAGGGTTCAGTCCCTAAGCCCATTATGTGCCTCTGTAACCCTTTCCACTACCGCCCACAAGATGGGTATGGGGTGCATAATAAATGAACTAAACTAACTAACTACAAATATGTTAACAATGTGTCTGGCTTTTTTTTATACAAGAGTTGTTACATTCTTGTACAGCCACTAGTACGCGTAGCGTTTCAAATTCAAAATTCAAGTCCTCCTGCTATCAAGACTGAAGCTTCCTTAGCAAAACGAACGATTAAATTTGGGTTCAATTTAACAATTTAGAAGATGAGTAGTTCCTGTATCATATGTATGTACGTATGTGTGTACTTTTGTCTGAATAAATCGTTATTAGAGGGAGAATAGAACAAATGAGATAAAAGATATTATAATAGATGAAGGGATAGGATGAGAGAAGTTTTTAGGAAAATGAAAAGACTATTATTTAGTTTATTTATTTATTTATTTATTTATTTATTTATTTATTTATTTTGTAACTTTTTTTTTATCAAACTTAGGTATACACAGCAAAGTGCTGCTACCCTATTCTATATGAAAGATTACACAGTGTAGATCAACAATGTTTTCATTTGTTTTCTTTCTATGTTTTCATTTCTTGTTTTCATTCTACTCATTATGCTCAATTAGTATTAAGCTTGTCATTTAAGTTTATCATGCCCGAAACGCTTTGCGTAATAGTGGCTTTAGGCATTGTATGTACTAGCTCTACCTATAAGTCAACCAATCTTTGTAAAAATTTATTGTATGTATGTACCTTACCTAAATAAACATTTTATTTTTTTTTTTTAACAACTAGTTATAAGTTCATCTAATATTTCCATCTCACAGGATGGTCAGTCATAATAATAATAATAATAATTTTTATTTAGGTAAAGGTACATACATAAAGAGATTTTACAAAGTTTGTTGGCTTTATAGATAGAGCTAGTACATACAATGCTTAAAGCCACTATTACGCAAAGCGTTTCGGACAGGAAAAAACACTAATGACTAAAGCTTAAAACTAATGGGTAAAAAGAATAAAATGTGTTGAGTACAAATAAAAATAGAGGTAAAAGAGGGGGGAACATTGTTGAAAAAGCAGCACAAATACAATTACAAATTATTACAGAAAATTACATTCAAACAGCGTTGACTTGAAAAAAAAAAAAAAAAAAAAAAAACATACATGGGTTGACAACAGAGGGGTAAGGTAGGTTACAGGGAATTTATTAGGTATAGCTTCGTTTTTAACTTAAACTGGTTGAGAGAGGTACAGTCTTTAACATGGTTGGGAAGGTCATTCCACATTCTGGGCCCCTTGATTTGTAGAGCATTTCTGGTTTGATTAAGTCGTACTCTAGGAATATCAAAACTGCATTTATTTCTGGTGTGGTGCTCATGGGTTCTGTTACAACCTTCTATGAAGCTTTTGAGATCAGGATTGGCATTATAGTTTAGCGTTTTATATATGTATAATACACATGAGAGAATGTGCAGTGACTTAATGTCTAACATATTCAGAGATTTGAGTAGGGGTACCGAGTGATGTCTGGGGCCAGAATTGGATATTGTCCTAATAGCAGCTTTGTGTTGAGTAATTAGAGGACGTAAGTGATTTTGGGTAGTAGAGCCCCAAGCACAAATACCATAGTGCTTGGGGCTCTACTACCACCTACTGCATAGGTGATATACTAAACATAATAGATACCCTAAAAAAAGATTCATAGAAAACACCGACCTTACCTAACCTTGTTAGTATCTTAAGATAAGCATCTTATTGCTTCGTAATTACAATTATTACCTAACCTATAATAGGTATAGGTTAAGTAATAATTGTAATTACGAAGCAATAAGATGCTTATCTTAAGATACTAACAAGGTTAGGTAAGGTCGGTGTTTTCTATGAATCTTTTTTTAGGGTATCTATTATGTTTAGTATATCACCTATGCACGTAGTTAATAAGTCAATATTGACTTTACGAATTTGCGAGAACGGGTTGCACCAGGGCAGGGCATGGTACATAATATCTGATCTTAGAAAGAATGCCCACAGTTTTTGAAACTTTTTTTGATATGTTTAGAATGTGTCCCTGGAAATTCAGCTTGTGGTCAATGAGAATACCAAGGAATTTGCCATCTAATTTGTTACAAATTTGGGTATTGTTTATTTTGAGATTTATTTGATTAGAGGATTTATTGCCAAACAGAATATAGAAAGTTTTGTCAATGTTAAGGGTGAGTTTGTTGGCAGTTAGCCACAGATGGACTTTATTTAGCTCAGTATTTACTGTGGCATTTAGAGCAAGGGGATCAGGACTGGAGTAAATGAAGGTTGTGTCGTCAGCAAATAGAATTGGTTTGAGGTGTTGGGAGGCATTTGGAAGGTCATTAATGTAGATGAGAAAGAGGAGAGGGCCAAGTATGCTGCCCTGGGGAACACCAATGTTGATGGGTAGGGTGGGAGAAATTGTATTATTCACAGAAACACATTGGAGCCTGTCAGTAAGGTAGGATTTGAGGTATTGTAGGGAGTGTCCTCTGACACCATAATGATGTAATTTAAGAAGAAGGTTTTGGTGGTTGACAGTATCGAAAGCTTTACGCAGGTCCACAAATAACCCAACAGGGAACTCATTTTTATCAAGAGCTGTATGAATCGAGTTAAGCATACTAATAAGTGCATCGTTAGTGCTTTTTTTGGGCCTGAAGCCATATTGGCAAGGGCTAAGTATATTGAGTTTGGCTAGATATGAGTAAAGCTGCTTATAGATTAGTTTTTCAAAAATTTTTGACAAGTTTGGCAGGATTGATATAGGTCTGTAGTTGTTAACATCTGTGAGATCACCACATTTGTGGACAGGCGTTACTCTCGCTTTTTTTAGAATATCTGGAAAGGTTTGGAGTTCAAGTGACTTGTTGAAGAGCAAAGCAATAGCAGGGGCTAAAGATCTGGAGGCTTTTTTGTAGATTAAAGTTGGGAATAAATGGAATCAGGGGAGAAAATACCTGCCTCAATACAAAAAAATCAACTTTGACTAAAAAATCAGGAAAGAACATGAAGTGTAAGACTGATCTATTAGCCTCCACTGGCAAAATCTGGTTACAGCACAAGAATATTTTCCAATATTCCTGAGTGTATGAAGTAATTACAGAGCTCAAAGTACCTCATACCATTTGGTCTGAAGTCATTTATAACAGGGCAATCACAGATATAGTGTTTGGGAGTATGTCCCAGCTCTTGTTCACATAGTTTACAATTGGAATGTTCACCATTTATTCATTGAGTTATTATTTAATATTATTTAGTTATTGTCCTGGTAGCAGATTTTTGCTGGGTGATGATTGGCTTGAGGTAGTTTGCAGTGGTTGAACCCCATGCACAGATACCATATGTAAGATAAGGATAGATTAGCGCGTAGTATAATGAGAGGAGATCAGGTTTGGAACATAATATCTGAGTTTAGAGAGTATACCAACCGTTTTTGAGACTTTTTTGGTAATTTGTTATATGTGGGTGCTGAAGTTGAGTCTCTTCTCTATGTATAGGTCAAGGAACTTTCCATCCTTTTTATTGATGATGTTAACATTGGCTATCTGAAGCTGAATTGCTTTTATTGATTTGCTTCCAAATAATATGTAGTAGGTCTTTTCTATGCTTAGTGTGAGTTTGTCGGTTGCCATCCATGAGTGGACTTTTTTTTAATTCGTTGTTTACAACATTATTTAGTGAGTGTGGGGTTGGGGGTCTGAGTAGATGAAGGAAGTATCATCAGCAAATAATACAGGTTTAAGAATGTTATAGGGACAATAGGCAGATCATTGATGTATATAAGAAATAGGAGAGGTCCTAGGATGTTGCCCTGTGGCACTCCTACGATTAATGGGAGAGGTTACATCATTGATGGCTACATATTGGTGTCTGTCACTAAGATAAGATCGAATATAGTTCAGGGCAAGGCCTCTGATTTCATATTTATATTTATTTATTTAGATATATACAAGAGTTGTTACATTCTTGTACTGCCACTGTAGCGTTTCGGGCAAGTCCTTATCCTAAGTTCCCTGGAATATGACCCCCGCGAAGAATCGTTTAACAACCAAGTACCCATTTTACTGTTGAGTTAAACAGAGGCTACACTTAAGGATTTGCGCCCAGTAAATCCTCCCCGGCCAGGATACGAACCCATGACAAAGCGCTCGTGATATTGGCGAAGTTAAAGTAAGAGGTAGTTATGGTTAACAGTATCAAAGGCTTTTCTCAGGTCAATGAAGAGTCCAATTGGACTCTTTTATTATATTATTATTAAGAGCTCATTTATTATATACCCCATATATAATAAATATACTCCTGTGAGCGGTAGTGAACCCTATACCCATCATGCGAGCTGTTGCTGTTGTTTAAGATTCGCTACCTGGAACAAAAAGTTCTAGGTAGCACGGGCTATGGTGAGCCCGTAGTGGACAGATTGATCATGTGAGCGATAGTAGACTCCATGCCTATCCTGGGAGCGGTTTAGACAAATATAATCCATACCTGTCCTGTGAGCGACAGTGGGAACAGTATAGAGGCACATACATTGTGACAAACAATATTGTGGCTTGTTGAACTTGAAGATATTGCTGTTTTTATAGTAGATTGAAATACCTAGAATTAACTCGGTTTGAGGCTTAATAAATATCAGTACTTGCTATATCTTGCTACCCAATCCCCCAATATGTGTACCTAAGCCATACAACTTTACCATTGTAATCATTGCTATCATCTTATATCAATATTGAACGAATATTTTACTGCATTATACCTTGAAATAATCCTCAAATTATAATACAATGTACCTGTTGATAACCCTTAAATTTTACTTTAATGTACTTACTAATCTTTGTCAAATTTTCTTACAATGTACCTGTTAACATTTTATTAAATTTTACTAGAAATTATCTACTTAAAATTATATGTTAGATTAAGGACCTGCCCGAAACGCTATGCGTGTTAATGGCTTTACAAGAATGTAAACACACCATGCTATGTACCCTCATAAACCCAATGTACCTTCTTGTATATATATATATAACAAATAAATCAATCAATAAATCAGGCTTGTGCAGCTTCAGCTGCCTTGTCAAGTGTTAAACAGTTTATCTTCATCTACCCTGTCAATTCCATTGAGAATCTTGTAAGTAGTGACCATGTCTCTTCTGCCTTCCAGTGTCGTAAGGTGCATTTCACGCAGCCTTTCCCCGTAACTCATGCCTCTAAGTTTTGGAACTAGCCTAGTGGCATGCCTCTGAACTTTTTCAAGCTTCGTCTTGTGGTTGACAAGGTACGGGCTCCATGCTGGGGCCGCATACTCCAGGATTGGTCTTACAAATGTGGTATTGTGTGTGTGTGCGTGCGTGTGATTTTTTGGGGGGCGTGGTTTAACATGGCCACCTATGGAGAGTATCTGGTCAGTAGGCTCGGTCACTGGTCTTGTCCTGGTTGCTGGTCTGTTCCTTAACTTGGTCCAGGAAAGTGGTCTGTTCCTTAACTTGGTCCAGGAAAGTGGTCTGTTCCTTAACTTGGTCCAGGAAAGTGGTCTGTTCCTTAACTTGGTCCAGGAAAGTGGTCTGTTCCTTAACTTGGTCCAGGAAAGTGGTCTGTTCCTTAACTTGGTCCAGGAAAGTGGTCTGTTCCTCAGCCTTGTCAGTGGTCCGGAGCGGGGGAAGCATGTGTACTCCAGTCACCTTTTCCTCTGGAGTGATGGCACTCTGGGGTTCCTGGCCGGGTTTCCTCATTAACCGTCCCCACAGTCGCCGGTAGAGACGTGCGCAGGTTGCGTTCACGACACGCGGGTCAACCTCCCCTGGAGCCAGTGGACCTGATATATGTCAATACAATTATTCCAATGGCAACACACTTTTAGAAATATGTATCTAATAACAAGCAGTTAAGACGTGTACAGCTAAGCAATTTTTCCCACTTTCTGTGATATTTATTGTTCAATTGTTTAATTGTTTAATTGTTGTTGTTCATATTTATGGTTTTCCGTTAATTACCCTTGTACTACACTATACTTTGTTGGGTTAAGACTCAGCTATTGATTCCCGCCTTTCCAGGTATCGGTTATTTAATACAATGACTCCCAATCTACATAACTCTTATGATGTTTTTATCTATAAGAATGTTTGGCCGAGGTCGGGTCCAAACACTTAGGGCTAGCCTCACCCAATTTTGCAGGATGATTGTTGAGGGGTAGGTAACCAACATGGGTGGGTTATTCCCCGTGGGATTCCCCATAAAACTGGTGGATTTTGCCCTTCTTTCCTCCACCTTGGAAAAATACAAAATAGAATGTCTGTTCGAGGTTGAAGGGTCTGACACTTGAGGTTAGCCTCAAGTGACTAGCCTTTGCACCGTGATTGCTGTGGGGTACATTCCCAACATGGTCAAGTTGAAGTCGCCATAGTTCAAAAAATCCTCATGCTACAGTTACATACTGAATTTCACGATGATTGTGGCATTGGCCACCAACTACAATCTGGCTAAACGCTTTGAAAACAATCTTAAAACTAATATTTTTCATACAATACTGTACTGATCTTGTAAAAATTAACATAAACAGGACATGCCCATGGCCATACAATTATTCTAACAGCAAAACTTTTAAAAATAGAGTATGTATCAAATAACAAGCAAATAATCTGCAGCAGCTATATTTAGCAAGCACTGCTACATCTGCTCCACATAGCAGATGAGGCTATAAGACTGCCAGCCCACAGTTTGTTGTTATTACAGATTCAGCTACTCGGAACAAGTTCCAAGTAGCACGAGCTATGGTGAGCCCGTAACTTACCAGGCACAGGAACGGGGCAACTAGCACGGGCTATGGTGAGCCTGTAACTTACCTGACACAGGAGCGGGGCAACTAGCACCAGCTATGGGGAGCCCATAGTGGACTTACCTGGCACAGGAGCGGTGCTGAATGTGCTCAGCCCACAGCATTGAGACGGAAGATATATTCACAGAGAAGTGTAACCCGCTTCTCGGTGTATATTCATCGAGAAGATTAGGTTAGTCCTGGACAACATTCAGGACTGGACTGACGAGCATTTGGCCTTTGTTGATGAGGACGAGCTGTTAAAATGATGAATGTGTCTTTGAGGTTGAGCGCCAGATGGACGAACATTGCCTGAGGATGAGTCGGCGAGTCTTGTAACGTGTTCTTCATTCTTAAAATGATGTGTCGACTGGATTAAGGAGCATTCCGCCTTTGTGTATGAGGTGGTGTTGAGTGAATAAGTGAGTCATCTGTGAGCAAGCAATTACTAATTAACTATGTGTTAGTCATGGATAAGCGAGCGGGTTAACTGTGGGTGAGAACTGTGTAAGCGAGCAAGTGAGTGAGTTACCTGTAATGAACGAGACGATGGAGCTGATAATGATGGTGTTGAGGACGCTGATGACGCCAATATAACAGTAGGATATGTCGTACATGGTGTGGCCGGAGCTCCTGTGGACACATACAAGACCGTCAGTGGTTTCAAAGCGTTATATGACAAAGAGTGCTGGGAAGACGGGACACCACGAGCGTAGCTCTCATCCTGTAACTACACTTAGGTAATTACACACTGTCACTCTTACCCTGGCTACTGTCCATCCACACCCTCTTTGAACACTCTTATTCCCCAGATAGTGGCCACCCAGAGATCTGTAGATAAGTCACATTCACTCTTATCCCAGTTACTATCTCTCTATAAAACTCTGAGTTGCAGAACTAATCCTGACCTCAAAGCCTTCCTAGATGGCTGTAACAGGGCCCATGAGCACCACTCGAGAAACAAATGTTGTTGATATTTCCTGTTGACAAACTACATTTTTTTTAACAAAATAACAACAAACTACAAAATTTCCTGTTGACGAAATATCAACAAATCCTGTTGACGAAATATCAACAAATCCTGTTGACGAAATATCAACAAATCCTGTTGATATTTCGGTTTTGGTTGAGTGACACTCGAGGAAAGCCGTAATTGGCATGCAATAAAAGGGGGTCCTAAACAAATGCAATTAAAATGATGTATATCTCTTAGGCAATTTAAAAAAAAAAAAAACAATTAGCATCACGTAGCCTAGTTCTTAAAAATGTCCTCATCCTAAATGTTCCTGTGAATATTAAATATTGTATCTGAATTCATATCGTACTTGCCTCTAAAGTTACAGAATCTAAATTTATTTATTTATTTATTTATTTATTTATTTATTTATTTATTTATTTATTTATTTATTTATTTATTTATTTATTTATTTATTTATTTATTTATGCATATACAAGAATGTACATAAGGAATGTGAGGATACAAATATGGTAATTACAGTCTTGTAAAGCCACTAGCACGCGCAGCGTTTCGGGCAGGAAAGTCGAAGTCGAACAGTCGACTTCAAAAAATTGAAGTCGTCTGTGTCATTCCTCATTAGATATCACCTTAGAAAACTGTTCAATGCAACATACGAAAATGGCATATCAGAAAGGAACTATTAAGACAGGAATTTCCTTACGTACTTTCGTATTTAATGATACATCTTCAGAAGGATGTATTATTGATTCTTCAGAAGATGTATTATTAAATACGAAAGGACTTAAGGAAATTCCTGTCTTAATCCATCCTTCGTGGTCTGACATTGTCATATATATATATATATATATATATATATATATATATATATATATATATATATATATATATATATATATATATATATATATATATATATATATATATATATATATATATATATATATATATATATATATATATATTAATTTTTTTTATATTTTCCAGTCTACACAAACATCTTCTAGCATCTGGAGTGTGAAGAAACACTTGATCACTTAATCTTCCCATTCGTATTGTTCAACGTTTCGTCAGCAATGTGTCTAATCTATCTAACCAATGCCTAAATATGCACAATATGCTAATATATAAGAATACTAATTTCGAGAAAATTCCTATTTTAAATGAACAGCATTTTAAAATTTATGAATGAGTCTTTGGGGTCGACCTCTGGATGGAATGGACAGACTGAGGACGGGTTGAAATGCTTCACTCACCTACTTCAAATACAAATAATCTCCAATAGAACCTAAACACCGAACCTAACATAGGCTTGACTAAACATAAAACTTTAATACATAATAATATTAATTTATACGTAATAGCAAACTTATTTTTATATACAATACGTTAAAATTGATAAATGCGTCTTGGGGGGGACGGCCGCTGCTTTAACGAGCCTGGCCTAAGGACAGGTTGAATGTTTCACTCACATACTAAAACCTGATTTACCTGAGGGGCCACTAACCCTAGTGGCCCTCTAACCACTAACCTTAATGGCCTTAACGAGGACTGGAAGCCGGCGGCTTGTCGAAGGTTTTCCCCGTTTGCCTTGATTATCTTTTCTAGGTATACAAGTTTTCCAAAAAATACAAATAATCGCAAACTGAACCTAAACACCTAACCTAACCTATGCCTAACCTAACCTAACCTATGCCTAACCTAACCTAACCTATGACTAACCTAACCTAACCTATGCCTAACCTAACCTAACCTATGACTAACCTAACCTAACCTATGCCTAACCTAACCTAACCTATGACTAACCTAACCTAACCTATGCCTAACCTAACCTAACCTATGACTAACCTAACCTAACCTATGACTAACCTAACCTAACCTATGCCTAACCTAACCTAACCTAGGCCTAACTCTACATAGAACTTTAATGAATATTAATTTATATATAAGAACAAACCTATTTTTCATACACAGTTAAAATTGATGACCGAATCTTGGGAGGGGGGGAGACGACCGCCGCTTTAACGAGCCTGGCTGGAGGACAGATTGTGGACCACCACAACACAAAATTACGGGACAGTATTTTCAAGTGATTCAACTCCCTGTCCGGGTGCATTCAAGTTTTACGGTCAACTATTTCATCAAGTCCAGGCTCAGACAACGGAATATGCTGCATCATATTGTTAAGTCAGAGAACATCCCTTACTTTTGTTGTGTGGTGGTCCAGTGGTACATGACCGAAATGCTGAGCATATTTTGTGGTTTTGTTAAATATGCAACTACTATACCACTTAAGTAATCACTATAATCTGATGCTTTGTATATCTTACAAATATAAATATTATTTTATCATTAGTATGATTTCTTCCCTGGTAACCACTTCTCTAGTCACTATGACCTCCTCGACACCTACACTGATGTGTACCGCTGAAGGCTGTGCTGCTGACTGAGCACAGTTGTTATTTAGTAAATACAGAGGTGAGGTAGTGGGCTTGGAAGGGAAAGAATAACAATAATCATGAGCCCCAAAAAAAGGAAAGATGTGTCATATGACTGACTCAGATGCATGAAGGGTCCCTGTGTCGTTGTGGACGCCGAAGACGCTGCCGGAGAGGGTGTCGTTGAGGCCGAAGAGAGTGTCTTTGAGTGTATTATTATAGAGATTCTCTGGACAGCCGAGAGTGGAGAGGGGCAGCTTCTCCGGGTGGCCGCCGCCTCTCACAAACTTGCCGATCGTCAACCACATGTTGAACACTAAGGCCAGGAAGACACCCACCGCGGCGCCCTGCAGGAGGGCGGGAAGGCTCTTATGTCTCTCAAGCTTGCAGGCGATGAGTCACAATAACGTGGCTAAAGTATGTTGACCAGACCACACACTAGAAGGTGAAGGGACGACGACGTATCGGTCCGTCCTGAAAAATTCTCAAGTCGATTGTGAATGGTCGACACAATCGACTTGAGAATGGTCCAGGACGGACCGAAATGTCGTCGTCCCTTCACCTTCTAGTGTGTGGTCTGGTCAACATCCAGGAATGCTCCTTACCTTTTTGCCGACCCAGGGAGCACAGATGCCCGTGAGGAACATGCCGGCGAGGGGACCCCTGATAGCACCCTGCAGGACATTGGTCACGTGAAAGATGGTGCCCAGACTGCCCACCAACAGCCCCAGTAATATGCCTATTACTCCCATCATCGTTGCTGTCTCACGTCCATGAGAAGAGAAAACGCTTTGGGTTATGTTTAATTATAACATGTATGTGAGAGTGGAGGTTTTTCCTGGCAGATACTGACTCGGGTCTACTTAAGACCCTAATCCCTCCCATAAATCTCTAATAATCTACAGTGACGCGGTCACCTAACGTGCGCTTATTAAACTATATGTGGCAAGGACGACAATACATGTGTTTAGTATGTATTATGATGTACACCAGAATGTGGGCACATATGTGGGCATGTGTAGCTCAGGTATTTGTTGTACCTTACGATGTGACTGTAGATCACATTGGTATTGTACTCCTCCCATGACACCTCACAGGAGTACTGTGTACCCCATGACACCTCACAGGAGTACTGTGTACCCCATGACACCTCACAGGAGTACTGTGTACCCCCATGACACCTCACAGGAGTACTGTGTACCCCATGACACCTCACAGGAGTACTGTGTACCCCATGACACCTCACAGGAGTACTGTGTACCCCCATGACACCTCACAGGAGTACTGTGTACCCCATGACACCTCACAGGAGTACTGTGTACCCCATAACACCTCACATGGGTGTTGTGTACCACAAACCATCACACTATTGTGATTTGGGTTGGCGCAGGAAGTGGAGGAGGTCATCCCCTGCACCACAGTACTAGCAGGCATCATGGAAAATATGACATGTGGGTATACCGGCTACAGCTGGTGCCTTCCAAATGAAATTCAAGTTCAGTGGAACTTTTGGCGATGATATTTGATCACGTCATGAGTGAATCAGTAGGAGACACCACAGTTCGGTCCCACTGTATTAATTTAAACTATTCTCACTGATACAGCCAGGCATTACAAATTCGGTTTCTAGATAATACAAGTTGTTCTAAAATAGGGACGAAACTAATTACATTAACAAATATATTAGTCAATTCAAACTGCAATATCAAGGTATATTTCAAGGTATATAAGACAGTATATGTATTACATAAGAGCTTGATAATGTTGGTGGCGCTGCGATCGGTGAACTTCTTGAAGTAAGGTCTGTCCTTGAGGAAGTCGACCCAGATGATGCAAGCCATAGCGTTCCCTTGTGACGACAGTGAACTGTCATGAGAGGTAAAGATGAGCCATAGATAAAGATAACTCCCACGATAAAGGTCACCCATATAACCTAACTATAACCCCCCGCCGCAGCTCAGTAGCCTCATATATCGTGTAAAATGCATGTATTTATTTGATCATTTACCAGAGGAGAGGTGGTGGTGGAGCTACTGACCTGAGGACGCCGCCGTACACCGCAGCCACAAACAGGCCAGACATACCCGTCAGGTGCCTCAGCTTGTCCGTCACCAGGTACGGCACAATCTGGTCAGGTTTCTCAATTCTTCCAGAGGTGAGCGGATCACAGTCTCTGTACACAGCATAGGCTATGAGGCCGGAGAAATAGAAGACACTCCACAGCATGAACAGACCCACTAAGAACATCGAACACAGTCTGTAGGGAAAGCAAGAGGCACGCTCTAAGTAATAATAATTCCACTATTTAGAACTATTTTTTGGGGCATGGCGTTTCTGCTTAGGTTAGTCGGACTCTTTGAACATCATATATGTGTTTCTTTTGTGGTGTCTTTGGTCTCTATTGCAAGCCTCCAAGAAGAATTTGAGGTCAGGATTGGTACTGCACTTTAGGGTTTTAATAATATTTTAATAATAATTAGTTTTAGTCTTAGTGTTTTTCCTGCCCGAAACGCTTTGCGTAATAATAACTTTAGGCATTTTATGTACTAGCTCTATCTATGTATCCATCAACTTTTGTATTTCACCTTGTATGTATGTACTTTACCTGAATAAATATTTGTATTTGTAATATAGAGTACACTTGCGAATATGAGTATTGCTTTATATTCGTCATGTTTAAGAATGTTAATAAATGTACTGCTTGCTGTCTGAAGTTGGAGTTTGTTGTTTCTGCGTTGAGTTCTGCTCATTTCTGAACTGTGTTTAGTAATTATATATGTCTGAGGTAGTTTTGAGTGATAGATGTCCAGGCCAGGATACCTTGGATAAGATATAGATAAATATAGCGTTACTAGGCTAGAGCGAAGTAAACGTTACTCGTACAAGTTGTCCTAAAATTAATAACAATCTAATTAAGCTTCATCTATGAACTGCTCGGCTTAGACTCGGTTACAAGTATCTCTGGGAATTCTCATTATCTGCCGATGTAGATCTGACCAAATATAAACTGTGTCAACAAAATTATTCGCACATCCTCCGTCACTATGTGATGGAGTGCGAAAAAATACGTGAATTTAGAGACAATTCTATAACCAATGTTCCAGCGATGTGTAAATATTCCATTCAAAATGATCTGCTACCAGAAATTTTAGCCAAATATCCCCAGTTTGCTAACTGTAGGTAGTAACTGAGTGATTGTAACCTATCCACCGCTGCCCACTTGATGGGGGGGGGGCAGTGTGCAGGACAAACATATCAATTGTGACACTAGCTCTCCACATATGTCAGTTGCTTAATTTAGAACCTGTACTTGTGGTCGATCTCGAACCCATTGTTGATGTGACGACTTATACTGAATTTTGTAACTAGCTCATCAAGATTGTAACTTGCTTAGCTAAATGAATTGTGGGGTTCAGTCCCTGAGCCAATTATGTGCCTCTGTAACCCTTTCCACTACCGCCCACAAGATGGGTATGGGGTGCATAATAAATGAACTAAACTAACTAAACTATGAATTATATAAAAAATAGAGCAGTCTGCGGTAAACCTTACTGAAAGTGTGCCGAGATTAAATGAAGTCATAGAGTGTGTGCTATTTTGCTTTTTCAGTGTATATAAACAGCGATTTTGTTTAGTCATCGACAATGTTCTGGACTTAAGTATGCTCGCTGGTTGGTCAACAGCCTCTTGTGGTGGCCTTCACAACTCTTCTGCCGTGGGAAGACAGTGAACCCAACACCAATCCATTGAAGTAAACTTTTAAAACTGTAATAACCACATCATGGTTATTACACAGGAAACAGTCAACACAGTGTAATCAAAATAGTGTGATATATCTAAGAGCAGATCAATAGAATGGACCTCGCGCTTGAGGTCGTCCTGGGGACGCAGAGGGGATGACAGGTTAATGCCACGCAGCGTTCCTGAGCATCGTTCAGTAAACATAACCTGAGTACTGGAGCACAGTGGCACATGCAGGGCTATGTGCTGCCACCTATGTTGTTCCTTGTATACATTACTGATTAACATAAAACAGCAGCAACCTCAGCCAAAAACTAACTTTACAGAGGCAAAAAGTTATGACTAAACTACAAAGGTGAATTCGGTGGGAAGTTGAGATTGATGGGGAGGATGAACTTACAACTGGGAGAGCTGGAGACTCTTGACGGAAATGAACCTCTGGAACTGGGCCTGGTTGAAGCCAGCCATACTCTGCACCATGTAGACCCCCAGCACCAGCGTCGACCAGAAGGTGTGACGCTCAAAGGGGCTGGTGTCCATGCTGCCCGCGTCGCCACCAACACCACCATCACACCACGGCAAGGAAGCACCATTCCATACGAAAACAAATGAGAAAAATATATATCATGAAAATTCAGCTTGTTACGCAACTTGGCCTACTAGGTACAACATTTAAATTATTCACCTGGAAACTCTGAGGCTCAAACTGCCGACCACAGAGCCACCAACACCTCTTAAAAGGAAGGATTCCAGATACACCTATATGATGCCCAACTGAAATCCTTTCTTTTAAAGGGGTGTTGATGGCTCAGTAGGTAGAGCGGCTGGCTACTATGTTTTTAGTTTTCTAGACCAAAAAGCTCGGTAAAGGTTGGCTGAGGGGTGGTCGGCGGTTCGAGGCTCCGAGTGTCCAGGTGAATGAAATGTTATTATCCACGATATGGTTTATTATTATTATTATTATGCAATTGGCACCTTTGGTTGCCTCGGAAAAGGAAAATAAAGAGTATTCAGAGAACACCTTGTGGATTCTCACTGAACACTTTAATATTTTCTTCTGCCACCCTTCATTCTTTATATATACACAAGGCTTATATCGAGGCTCCCCCAAGGTCAAACTAATGACCCTCCTCTAAGATGCCTAACTCCCAGGTACCTATTCACTACTAGGTGAAGAAATGTATTAGATGAAAGGAAACCTGTCCAGCCATTCCTGCCCCACCCGGGATCTCGCATTGTGATTCGAGAACGAACCCAACTGTACTAAAAATAATGTACTAATGTATTAATAATAATTGTAATGTACTAATCTTAAGTTCAGTTCTTGTACCGGTAATGTTAATTATCTACAAAAATTCGATGAAAATAATCAAACAGAGGAAATACAGTTACATGAATATGGCTACAGATATCACAAAATTGCTATGGAGAGTTTAGAGACTTAGATGACTGTATTGCCCTCCAAAGTGACGTAGACAAAATTAAGTGAGTGTAGCAACACATGGCAGATGGAATTCAACGTAAATGAATGAAATATAATGGATTACATTACATTTAATGGATGCTCTCGGACGTAGGTTCGAATCCACGTCACGGCCCTTGTGGATTTGTTCATGTAATGGATTGCTGAATAAGAGAGAACAAACCGCACCTAATCTATAAATTATGTGAAATGATATTAGAAACTTCTGACAATGAAGGATGAAGGAGTATTCTGGGTTGAAAGTTGCCAGAGAAGCCTACGCTACTCTGATGTCCAGGCCAAAGTAGCCTAGGCTACTCTGATGTCCAGGCCAGAGTAGCCTAGGCTACTCTGATGTCCAGGCCAGAGTAGCCTACGCTACTCTGATGTCCAGGCCAGAGTAGCCTAGGCTACTCTGATGTCCAGGCCAGAGTAGCCTAGGCTACTCTGATGTCCAGGCCAGAGTAGCCTACGCTACTCTGGCAAATTTTAAAGCTGCGTTTCAAAATGTGGACAAAGATGTGGATATTAAAGAAACTGTTCACATAACATATGAGATCAAAGCTGAAAAATGCAGTAGTAGTGTTGTGCCCATATCTCAAGAAACTCAAACAAATAAGAAAAGGTGCAAAAACAAGATACTAACTGACTCCCAGAACTTAAGAAGTGACAGGAGGCGTTAAACTTGCCAAGATACAAGATAAGAGGAAAAGAGGAGATATGATCACAACGTTCAGAATAGTCGCAGGCATCAACAAACCAGACAAGGAAGAATATTTGAAATCTGCAGCTTCAAGAACAAGAAGACACAGATTCAAGCTAAGAAAACAAAGATGTCAAACAAACATACGAAAGTTCTCTGTTGCGAACAGTTGTCGAAAGTTGGTACAATGGGAAGGTGGCGGAGGGCAAAACCGTCAATAGTTTCAAATCGTTATATATGACAAAGATGATTATGAAAACGGGACACCATGAGCAACATTCTGAAACTACAGTATACACTAGATCCCCCCCCCCCACACTCACACCACAAACAAAATAGGCCAAGTTGCAAGTCTGACTCATCACTCACTTGAAGAACTCGATTCGTCCCCCTTGGTCAGCGATTGCCCACACGTTGGCCGGGCCGCCCATGTACTGGCAGCAGATCACTGACACCACCAGCACCCCACCGAACATCAGCAGCGTCTGCACCACGTCCGTGTACACCACCGCCTTCACCCCGCCCTGTGCAACATATAAAGTTACCCTCTAACCTGCTAAAGTGTCACTCATTTAGCACCGCTCCTGTGCCAGGTAAGTCCACTACGGGCTCACCATAGCCCGTGCTACTTGGAACTTGTTCCGAGTAGCTGAATCTATAACAACAACAACTGCTAAAGTGTGAACACGGGAGACATCTCCCGTCACGCAGGGTGCAGTCGCACCTCCACAGATCTCCAGTATCAGCTCTTGATACTAATAATGACTCCAAAGGGCCACCACTTACGGGGTATTCATGCCCGTGCCACATTTTGGGTGGCTTAATCTTCATCAATCATCAATCAATATGCTAAAGTGACAATGACAATTGAAAGCACAATATGAGGGGATCCGTTATCACACTATCTTGAGAGGTTATCTTCAAGATGATTTCGGAACTTATCGTCCCCGCGACCCGGTCCTCGACCAGGCTTCCTTTTCGTTACACATCCCCAGGAAGCAGCCCGTAGCAGCTGTCTCACTCTCATCAGGGTGAAAGAAACTTTGCCCATTTGTTTCTGCCTCCACCGGGGATCGAACCCGGAACCTCAGAACTACGAATTCGAAGCACTGTCCACTCAGCTGTCAGGACCCCCTGACAGCTGAGGGGGGCACTAGGAATATAGAATTGTGTTAACGCATGCACAATAATAATAATAATAATAATAATAATAATAATTTTTATTAACATATATGCAGAACATGATAGTGGTAAAATATTTATCACAGAATATACTGTATATATATTTAATAAAGCCACTAATATGCAAAGCGTTTCGGGCATAACTTATATTAATTCAGTTAAATTATTTATAGGTACGGTATAATGAAGTAAACACAATACTAAATGAGAAGTAAACTGACATATAAATTGTTCAAGAAATTTAGCAAAACATATACAACTTTTAAGTAGGAAATAATGTAAAAAATAATTAGGAGAAAGTGTACAAATGTAATGGGGTAATACTTAAAATTAAATGAAATGTTTTTTTGTTTAATTGTTGAAAGATATACAAATAATTGACAGTTATACAAGAGACATTTATAAATAGAAATTATTTTAACAGTACATAGTTATAAATTTTAAAACTGTAGACGAGATTTAGAACAAAATTATAGAATTTTTTTATGATATTTAGAAACAGCAGTATTTAGTAACAGTATATATATAGTAGTTGATAATTAACGTTCACGATGAGAGCCAAACACAGGCTGACATAAAGAATGAGAAAAAGTCAGGAAAATTTATTATGTAAAATTAATAAGGTAGGTCTTAGTTTCTCTATTAAACTGGCAGAGAGAAATACAATTTTTACTATTAGACTCTGGCAGCTGTGTTTACAGTATATGGAAAGTCACACACAGATATCTGTAGCATGCACAGAAACACCACTTAGCAATGTGTAACAAACATTGAATCAGTCGCACTACTATTCTCACTGTCAAGCATATGTATATTTAGTATACTGCATATTTTTTTAGGAATTCAGTCATTGTCTTTTGAATATAAACAGAGAAACAATGCCAAGATCAAGAAATGGTAGTCAATGTACCCAGTTGAAACAAGTCATCAGTGCCGGTATATGTGAAGGGCAGCCGAGCTCAGTGCGGTCAGGCATGCAGGCAGGTCAACTTACGATGGTTATATAGAAGGAGCAGATGAGGCCCATTGTGACGACTGAGGCCCAGATGGGGAGGCTGGTGACGGAGGAGAGGGTGAGGGAAGGCGCGTACAGACAGATCCCAGAGAACACAAACGACCCAAGCAGCTGGATCCCTGTTGCTATCTTGCGCAGTGCTCGTGACTTGAACCGCAGCTCTATGTACTGTCAGGCAGGGAGAGTTAACCGGGGTTGGTCTTCAGGTTGTGGTAGAGATTCTCCATGGTAAGTAAAGGCTCAGAGGTAAGAGAGATCATTAAATCAACAATGATACAGGATGTAAGAATCAAACAGGCCATGAAATACAAGAGACAAGAGTTGAAGAGGGAGAATTCAATGATAATTTATAACCTATCAGAGCCAGAGGGAAACATAGCAAAACAGAACAAAGGTTGACTTGAAACATAATACAGAAATTCCCACCAAATTTTGGCCAAGAAAAGCAACCATGAAATTATACAATTTTTGAAGGCTAGGAAAGTTTTAGAATGGACGGTATCAGAGAAGGTAATCTTTAACAAAAGTATTCTAGTGAAACATACATATACTGACAGAAAAAATAAATTAATTAACAATAATACCACAAAATATATATTAGTTAGGACATGTGCAAGGCATTCATGAAGGAAGCGATAAAAATCACACATAAAAAGACTTATAAATATATTGCAAGAGGACAAAAAAATGGCCCAATGGTTAATAAAAAGAATCAGCAACTCGGGGAGCAAAGGCCTCAATACAAGAAGATATTGGATCTGCAGTCTATTCTTCTAGCCAGAAGAGTAGGCATGACTGTCTAGCTCAACATACTCTTCCCATCCTCAGGATTAGGCTTTGGAACAAATAAAATCACTAACCCAAGTGACATTACAGCATACTTGGTTATTAAACTATTTGGCGGGTCGTATTCCGGGGGAAATTAGGATTAAGGCCCTGCCCGAAACGGCATGCGTGCTAGTGGCTTTACAAGAATGTAAGAACGCTTGTGTATATATATATATATATATATATATATATATATATATATATATATATATATATATATATATATATATATATATATATATATATATATATATATATATATATATATATATATATATATATATATATATATATATATATATATATATATATATATATATATATATATATATATATATATATATATATATATATATATATATATATATATATATATATATATATATATATATATATATATATATATATATATATATATATATATATATATATATATATATATATATATATATATATATATATATATATATATATATATGTCGTACCTAGTAGCCAGAACTCACTTCTCAGCCTACTATTCAAGGCCCGATTTGCCTAATAAGCCAAGTTTTCCTGAATTAATATATTTACTATAATTTTTTTCTTATGAAATGATAAAGCAACCCTTTTCTCTATGTATGAGGTCAATTTTTTTTTATTGGAGTTAAAATTAACGTAGATATATGACCGAACCTAACCAACCCTACCTAACCTAACCTAACCTATATTTATAGGTAAGGTTAGGTTAGGTAGCCAAAAAAAGCTAGGTTAGGTTAGGTTAGGTAGGTTAGGTAGACGAAAAAACATTAATTCATGAAAACTTGGCTTATTAGGCAAATCGGGCCTTGAATAGTAGGCTGAGAAGTGCGTTCTGGCTATTAGGTACGACATATATATATATATATATATATATATATATATATATATATATATGTCGTACCTAGTAGCCAGAACTCACTTTTTGGCCTACTATTCAAGGCCCGATTTGCCTAATAAGCCAAGTTTTCCTGAATTAATATATTTTTTCTAATTTTTTTCTTATGAAATGATAAAGCTACCCATTTCATTATGTATGAGGTCAATTTTTTTTATTGGAGTTAAAATTAACGTAGATATATGACCGAACCTAACCAACCCTTCCTAACCTAACCTAACCTATCTTTATAGGTTAGGTTTGGTTAGGTAGCCGAAAAAGTTAGGTTAGGTTAGGTTAGGTAGGTTAGGTAGTCGAAAAACAATTAATTCATGAAAACTTGGCTTATTAGGCAAATCGGGCCTTGCATAGTAGGCTGAGAAGTACGTTCTGGCTACTAGGTACGACATATATATATATATATATATATATATATATATATATATATATATATATATATATATATATATATATATATATATATATATATATATATATATATATATATATATATATATATATATATATATATATATGTCGTACCTAGCAGCCAGAATGCACTTCTCAGCCTACTATGCATGGCCTGATTTGCCTAATAAGCCAAGTTTTCCTGAATTAATATATTTTCTCTAATTTTTTTCTTATGAAATGATACAGCTACCCGTTTCATTATGAATGAGGTCAATTTTTTTTTATTGGAGTTAAAATTAACGTAGATATATGACCGAACCTAACCAACCCTACCTAACCTATCTCTATAGGTTAGGTTAGGTTAGGTAGCCGAAAAAGTTAATATATAAAATTAATATATAAAATATATATATATATATATATATATATATATATATATATATATATATATATATATATATATATATATATATATATATATATATATATATATATATATATGTCGTACCTAGTAGCCAGAACGCACTTCTCAGCCTAATATGCAAGGCCCAATTTGCCTAATAAGCCAAGTTTTCATGAATTAATGTTCTTTCGACAACCTAACCTACCTAACCTAACCTAACCTAACTTTTTCGGCTACTTAACCCAACCTAACATATAAAGATAGGTTAGGTTAGGTTAGGTAGGGTTGGTTAGGTACGGTCATATATCTACGTTAATTTTAACTCCAATAAAAAAAAATTGATCTCATACATAATGAAATGGGTAGCTTTATCATTTCATAAGAAAAAAATTAGAGAAAATATATTAATTCAGGAAAACTTGGCTTATTAGGCAAATCGAGCCTTGCATAGTAGGCTGAGAAGTGCGTTCTGGCTACTAAGTACGACATATATATATATATATATATATATATATATATATATATATATATATATATATATATATATATATATATATATATATATATATATATATATCAAACTAAAAATTATCCCATATAGTGTTGTGATCGGTCTCACATATTTATATAACGCTGAGCTTAGTTGGCCATATCTGACTGACTTCTTGCGTTTGGTAATACGGGTTTTTAGATACTTCGGCCCTAATAAATTTTACTGCAATCATTACAAGGAATCTTATAGACTCCGGCTCTCTCAGCTTATCTTTTTTTCTGATAGATAGACTTTACTAATTCCTTACCGATTTTATTTGGGTAACTGAAAATGAATTTTGTTTTACTCATTTTGCTTAAGTTCTTAGCTGTATGTCCTATGTTAGAACTGTAGGAAATGACGAAGCTGTTCTTAGAAGCGATCTCCTGCTGGCAAATAACACCAGTCTGGTAGAAATTTGCTTTTGGCAACTTTTAAAGCTTTGCCCAGGAACCAATTAGAGTTTCCTACTTTATTCAGTTGATTGTATTTCAATGTCTAACCACGAATGACGATGAAACGTGCAAATACTTAACAAACAAACCGTGACTAGCTGTGCTTGTAAATCATTATGTTATTAGACTTGAAAGCAAGTTTGCATATACTAACCAATGCAAAGAATTACTGTCCTACTAAACATACATAAAAAAAAAAATATGCAACAGCTTACTTCAAACTGATCAACATCAATAATTAATCATTGTAAGCCTTGTAATGGCATGTACATTAGTCATAGACTTGGTCTAGGCTTGCAATAAATGGAATTTTAAATCCAGTTATGATGTGGCTACTAAATCGTTCATTACAGTAACATCGGCAGCATATAATATGCTGGCAAACAATAAAACAGCATTTAAAAGCCTAAATAACGAATATTTCTACACAATCTATACAGCTTAAGTAAAACCAATACTACAATACATAGTACAACCTGAAATTTGCACCTCATGAAACACAATTCAAACAAGAAAATATATCACGCAACAAGATTAGTGCCAGAACTAAGAGAACTAATTTATAAGTATAATTTAAGAGAAATAAATCTGACAACCATGTTGGGGAAAAGAAACAAATATTATCACATCATGTAAAATACTGAAGGGAATTAACAAGGTGAACAAGGACAGCCTCTTTAAGTTCAGAGAACATAAGACAAGAGGAGGTCAGATCTTACCTATGTGTCACAGGACACTTAGGTAAGAACTGATATAAAAGCACCTACTACCACCTCCCTACCACCATCACCAAGGCACTTCACCTTGTTACAGACCATCACCCGACATCCTGTAACCTTCCCAGTTCAGACTACTCATCAGCATCCTCTCCGTCACCGTGACTGGCAACAGTCCCTCTCTAAACATACTTTTTGGTCAACCAAACTCATCCTGCCCCAAATACGACTAGGTCGAAGCTCCACGAAAGCAAACTTTCATCCCTTAATTTTGATTCTCATCTCTATCAAATAAGATTTACAATTATATTTATAATTACATTTAGAATTAAATTTAGTTAAACTTAGAAATATATTTACAATTTTAATTATAAATTTGTTTACAATACAATTACATTTAAATGTTAATATTGTGCCTGGCTGACACCAAGCACAGAGCCAGATTGGCACCAAACACGGTGCCAAGTTGACCCCAAGTACATTGTCAGAAAAACTATTCTTACCTCAAACATGGAGACAAGGTGGAGAGGGTACAAGACCGGCAGCATAATGTTCCTTATCATCAGGATACCAAATATGCTTCCAACAAGGGACATCGTCAGCTGAGTACCGTAGAAGTACACCTCCGTGGCGTTACCTAAGGACGGTACTCGCGTTAACAAGTTATTCACAATTCAACTGCAGATGACATGGCGTAGAAAGTCCCCAAGATTATCTTATCATTATCTACTGTAGGTGTTAGTGTAGAATATAGATGCGCAAGAGGTGTCCTAGATACCGTAAATATAACAATATCAGAATTTATGGTGGAGAGTTACGAATATTGAAAAAAATACTTACAAATCTGGGGAAATTTAGTGTATAGGCTACCAAAAGCAGACAAAAAAATATGACATCAATGGCAGACTTGACTGGACCTGTACTATCAGAAACATACAATAATTTCAAGGGTTTCACTAAGGAAGAAATAGGAAAAAGGAGGTTTCTTTGGTAGGTTAATTATGATCGAAGAGTTGCTAAAGATTAATGAAAGGAAACTTTTAAATTAGAAAACGAAAATGAAGATCTTAAGAGGTAAAACTAATATTCTACAAGGAAGCATTTTGAAGCAGCAGGAGGAAAATATTGACTTGACTAAGAAACTTCGCGGGCAGCTCAACTGGAGGAGGTACCAAGCTACTGAGCTCAGTACCTAAATTGGGCCTAACAAGGGCAAGTTAAAGCTGAAGAATAACATTAGTAGTTTATTGCTAACGCTTCTATAGATATGAATCCCAGAATCCTTTTGCTGATTTTGAACATTTATGCATTTTTTTTTTAGGTTTAATATCCCTAATAATCATAACTCCCAAGACTTTTTTGCATTCAGATTGGGCAAGGGGAAGGGAACTATCAGAAGAAACCGCCAAGCCATTACGACTATATAGCACTTGGAAGGGGTCAGGATAAGGATTTGGGATGGGACGGGGAAGAAAGGAATGGTTCCCAACCACTTGGACGGTCGGGGATTGAACGCCGACCTGCATGAAGCAAGACCGTTGCTCTACCATCCAGCCCAAGTGGTTGGTTAATTTCAACATTATTTGCTGATATCTACTATATAGTCGTAATGGCTTGGCCCTTTACCCTGACAGTTCCCTTAACCTTGCTGATATCTAGTGACTTATTATTATGTGCTATAGAGTATATAGTCTTCAGGGTTTGGTGCCTTCTTTTGACAATTACTTATTCAAGTTCAAGTATGTTTATTGAGACAAGAAAAAAATACATCTCAATGGGATAGAGTAGCTTAGGCTATTTCTACCCTTAATTACATATTAACATTACCTGAGTTTAGAAGCCTACATTAGTCATACACGTCACAACCACACCTTTATTATAACACCTTATAACCAACATACCACTTCACTACAACTATATTAGACGTATACTTACCGAGTATTGATATAGCAGATATAGATCCACCGAGGAGTGAGAGGGCCACGGGGAGGACCGGCATATTCCGTCCCCCCAGCATGTACTGCTGGGTGGAGGTGCCGCCGCGGCCCTTCCAGGCACTGTACACACCGATACCCACCGACACCACCAGCAGCAGCACGAACACCCCATAGTCCACCAATGTGAACTGTGACTCTCCCATCACCTGCTCCCTCTCCGGCGGCGCCTCCGTCACGTCCATCCTCCCAAGAGCAAGTTTCCCCAAGGGGCGTCACCAAAGCTATTTCAAAAGTGAATATCATGGTGTTAATTACACAGGTTGATCACCTTGACTCATTTGTGACTGCTGGAGTGGAGTTGGATCCCCAGTTGAGATAGTACTCTCGGTACCATTAGAGTAGATATATGAGAACAAATGCAATTATATATATCAGAATATAAAATTAACTTTCTCGCTTTCAAGCTTCGCAATTTCAAGTTGATTAGTCTTACCTAAGTCTTACCTTACCTTCGCAATTTCCAGCTGATATTTGAGTAGTCTTACTTAAGCTCAGAGCCCCACGTTTTTCAGCATTAAACTACATTTGACAATCTTTCATCTATTATGAAAGCCTATCTAGAGCTTCTTGTAGCGATTTTTAGTCTTCTGAAATTATTTTCTCGCCCTCTTTTTGTATCTTATCAAGAGCGAGGTTTTAAATCAAATAAAATGATAAAACAAAAAAAAATATATATATAGGGGGTGGTAGGAGAAGACAATTAGCATGTGAGAGGTGGCACGGGCATGAATAGCCCGTAAATACCCAGAAGAAACTCTGCTCCCATTGTAATGCATCGAAAATTAAGGGAAGAAAATTAAAGCTAGTGAGGGAGATATAGAGGTGGAAGGGGAGGCGTGAGGAAAAGTGGTCGGGAGAAAGGGAAAGTTTAGAATGAGAGAAAATGGGAGGGGAAGGACAGAAAAAAAGAGGAAAGTGCTGCCACCATCCATTCAAGAGTATTTTATGAGACAAGTGGGCTAGATTCACGAAGAAGTTACGTAAACACTTACGAACCTGTACATGCATCTTTTCTCAATCTTTGGCGGCTTTGTTTACAATTATTAAACAGTTAATGAGCTCCGAAGCACCAGGAGGCTGTTTATAACAATAAAAACAGTTGAATGGGAAGTTTTCATGCTTGTAAACTGTTTAATAAATGTAACCAAAGTCGTCAAAGATTGAGGAAAGATGTACACGTTCGTAAGTACTTGCGTAAGTACTTTCGTGAATCTGGCCCAAGGACTAGAACTTGTCTGTACCACAATATTGTCTGATGTTATAAAGTAAACACTGTACGAATGTGAATCATATAGTCAAGAATCTTTATGACATGATCTTTAGCAAGTACACTTCAGTGTGCTCTCCACTACCTTTCACTATATCATTAAGAATCCAAGATCTAGCTACCAGAACTAAAGACAATTAAAAAATAAGTTAGTCAATTAGATATTTATTATTATATTTTCACTCTTATGGGTATCATAATTCAACCATTTTACTTGATGTTCAAATGTCAACATTAATGTAGAATTTGAGTCACCACACAAGAAATTCAGAGCGACTACGGCTGACTGCCCCTGAAAATCACACAACACTTAAATTTGAAAACGCCATATACGTCAACCTTATAAGTTCACTCACCAAAGTCTCTGAGATTAAGTTGATGGAGAGGAGGGGGTAGGGGGGATAGTATAGGTGACAGACAGTCCCCACCTGGCCTCAGACAAGCCTAGAAATTCAAATAGGCTGCTGGAACCTCTCTGGTGTAGCGATCTATGTCAATAGTACAATTCCAGGGGTATTTAAGAGGGAAACGGGAGCTAGACTCCGCCTACCAAGAGATAGCCTCTGGCTATCTTTCTACCACACCTAGACATTGGCTTGTTTGATGCAAAGAACACAGCCGCCCGTCTGCAATTATCAGCTTAGCAGAGAGCGAGGTCACCTGACGCGACCTGACCTGAAGGCAACCTAAGACAACACTCCAAAGATGTGACTTTAGAATGCTAAAGGCCGACAGCCTAGCTTTGGAAAAGTCAAGATAAAGAATGTTAATCTTTCCCGCTATCAATTGCTAGAAATATATAGAATAAAATAAAAGAAATTGGTTTAAGCATTTTCAAGTTTAAGTATATTGAGATAATAATATACGTCCCAAAAGAATGAAGTACCTTAGGCTATATCTACCAAAGAGCGGCCTTTTTTAAAACCATATTGTGAATCACTTAAAAAAATCACTTTTCCAACATGTACACAAATCTGTCACCAGCTGCTGCAGGTGTTGAAGCCTAGTAGTGCTCTGGGGTGGTGGAGATCCTAAGTGAGGGATAGTGCTCAAGTGACGATGGTAGAGCATTGATGAAGATTAAGCCACCCAAGAGGTGGCACGGGCATGAATAGCCCGTAAGTGGTGGCCTTTTTTGAGCCATTACCATTAATGTATATAGAAACACTGAGATAAGGACTGTTCCTGAACAAATAGCCTGGATGTGTCACAAAGGAAAGGTTGATGGTATTCTTGAGAGATATAAGAATTTTGCACCAAGACTAATATTTTGTTGAATTATCTGCATGTCTCTTGCAAATTGTCTATACAGTATAACTAGGTCATAAAAGTATTTGTGTGTACGTCTGATACCATACTACTTGTGAAGGAGGAAATGTATATGTTTATCTCTCAGAATGTTTGGTAACATGTTTATTGTTTGTGATGTGTGTCTATGTATGTACTAACACGTTGTACTGAACGGGGTGAGAATAGCTTGACCTACCTCATCCCTTTGTGTGTATTTTACCTCAATAAACTTATTTCAATTTCAATTATCAAGAGCTGATACTGGAGATCTGTGGAGGTGCGACTGCACCCTGCGTGACGGGAGATGTCTCCCCCGTCCATGGTAGAGCAATAATAGGGCAAGTGTTATGGTGTGGTGACGGCGTTATTGATGTGTTATTGATAGTTTTACTTATCAATGACTATGGGGAAGTGATATCTAACTCTTCATGCTCCACCATGAGCTTGTTGTATACCTGTGGTGGCGGCGGCGGTAGATGGGTAGCGGTGGTGGTGGTGGCGACGGTAGATGGGTAGTGGTGGTGGTGGTGGCGACGGTAGATGGGTAGTGGTGGTGGCGACGGTAGATGGGTAGTGGTGGTGGCGACGGTAGATGGGTAGTGGTGGTGGTGCCGACGGTAGATGGGTAGTGGTGGTGGTGGCCGACGGTAGATGAGTAGTGGTGGTGGTGCCGACGGTAGATGGGTAGTGGTGGTGGTGCCGATGGTAGATGGATAGTGGTGGTGGTGCCGATGGTAGATGGATAGTGGTGGTGGTGCCGATGGTAGATGGGTAGTGGTGGTGGTGCCGATAGTAGATGGGTAGTGGTGGTGGTGCCGATGGTAGATGGGTAGTGGTGGTGGTGCCGATGGTAGATGGATAGTGGTGGTGGTGCCGATGGTAGATGGGTAGTGGTGGTGGTGCCGATGGTAGATGGATAGTGGTGGTGGTGCCGACGGTAGATGGGTAGTGGTGGTGGTGGCGTGGGCAGCGGTAGGTGAGTGGTAGGATGATAGTGGTGGTGGTGGTGGTGTGGGTGCTGGCAGGAGCGGTGAAGGAGTAAGACTTAACGCAAATTTCATTGCTCGCGGTACTTGATGGCAGTTACGCATGCGCCGTTTCTCTCCAAGAGCAGGCGCCAAATTTGAAGTTCATTATTTGTGTATAAGTTATCTTTCTTTTCCTCGAACCTATAGCTGTGTTCCAGCTTACAAACTGTCCCACAGATAACATATTTTGTGTCTGGTTGTGTTCTACCTTGAAAAATTACCTCCTCTAATTACTCAACACAAATCTGTTATTAGAACAATAACAAACTCTCGCCCCAGACAGCACTCAGCCCCCTTAGTTAAATCTTTGAATATATTTATTAATTTATTTATTTATTTATATATTGGATAATAAGTCACTGCACATCCTCTCAAGTGTACTCTATATATTTATCCTGATCTTAAACGCTTCCTGGAAGGTTGTAACAGAACCCATGGGCACCACAATAGAAATAAATACCTATTTAATATTCCAAGAGTGCGCCTTAACCAAACTAGAAATGCTCTGCAAATCAAGGGACCCAGAATGTGGAATGACCTTTCGAATCATGTCAAAGGCTGTACCTCTCTCAACCAGTTTAAGAGAAAAATCTTAATTTAAGAGAAAAATCATTCTTAATCTTAAGGATTAAGAATGGGGAAGTCAGGTTAGAACAGGAATTCATACAACTGGTTAGAAATGTTAAAAAAGAGATTAGGAAAGCAAAAAGAAACTATGAAGTTCGCATAGCAGAGCAAGCAAAGTCAAATCCTAAAGTTTTTTTTCAGTTATATCGAACTAAGACTAGGGAAAGGATAGGTCCATTAAAATCTGAGACAGGTCAAATAACGGATAATGACAAGGAGATGAGTAGTATTTTTAACAAATATTTTATATCTGTATTTACTAAAGAAGAACTTAACAATATGCCTTCAGCCGAACAAGTCTATGTGGGTGGGGATGAGGACAGGTTGACTAGTTTAGCAGTTACCAGGGAGGATGTAATTAAACAATTAGAAAAACTAAAACCAAACAAATCCCCAGGGACGGATGAAGTGTTTGCCAGGGTGCTTAAAGAATGCAAAGAGGAGCTTTCCGAGCCACTGTCTACCATATTTAATAAATCAATAGAGTCAGGCAGAGTGCCAGAGTCATGGAAGGTAGCTAATGTGGTACCAATTTTTAAGAAAGGAGATAGATCACTTGCGTCAAACTATCGGCCAATTAGCCTAACGTCTATTGTGGGAAAGTTACTTGAATCAATAATTGCAAATACAACTCGTCTCCGTCTTGAAAAACATAAATTAATAAATGAGTCGCAACATGGTTTTACAAATGGCCGTTCATGTTTAACATAAGAACATAAGAACATAAGAACAAAGGTAACTGCAGAAGGCCTATTGGCCCATACGAGGCAGCTCCTATTCTATAACCACCCAATCCCACTCATATACTTGTCCAACCCGTGCTTGAAACAATCGAGGGACCCCACCTCCACAATGTTACGCGGCAATTGGTTCCACAAATCAACAACCCTGTTACTGAACCAGTATTTACCCAAGTCTTTCCTAAATCTAAACTTATCCAATTTATATCCATTGTTTCGTGTTCTGTCCTGTGTTGATACTTTTAATACCCTATTAATATCCCCCCGGTTATGTCCATTCATCCACTTGTAAACCTCTATCATGTCACCCCTAACTCTTCGCCTTTCCAGTGAATGCAACTTAAGCTTTGTTAATCTTTCTTCATATGAAAGATTTCTAATTTGGGGAATTAACTTAGTCATCCTACGCTGGACACGTTCAAGTGAATTTATATCCATTCTATAATATGGCGACCAAAACTGAACTGCATAATCTAAATGGGGCCTAACTAGAGCAAGATATAGCTTGAGAACCACACCAGGTGTCTTGTTACTAACGCTGCGATTAATAAATCCAAGTGTCCGATTTGCCTTATTACGAACATTTATGCATTGATCCTTTTGTTTTAAATTCTTACTGATCATAACTCCCAGATCCCTTTCGCAATCCGACTTCGCAATCACAACACCATCTAGCTCGTATCTTGTAACTCTCATCATCATTACCTAACCTCAGAA